AAGACATGCCATCTCTCAAAGCCATGCATTATCACTGACTATGCATGGGATGCTCTCCTTTCTCAACTCTGCTTTTTAGTTTCCTGGCTTTTTTCAAGTCTCAGCTAAAATCCCACCTTCTACAGGAAGATTTTCCCAATCTCTCTTAATTCTAATACCTTCCCTCTTTTATTTTTTTTTTCTTATTTTCTTCTTATATAGCTTGTTTGCACATATTTGTGTATTATCTTCTGCATTAGATCCTGAGCTCCTTAAGGGCAGAGACTGTCTTCTGCCTTTCTTTTTATCCCCAGTGTCTGGCACATAGTAAGTGCTTAATAAATGTTTATTGATTGACTGACTGACTCTATCCATTCTCTTTCACTAGGTGATTGGCTTATCTCATTTTTTGGTTATAATTTCCCTGATGGCATCCATTATACCATTTCACCTGTGCCAGCCCTTGTTTATAATGTAGTGGCTTATGCCTTTCATTCAACTCTTCATTGTTCTTCAAAGCCTGTGCTCTATGACCTACCAGGAAGTAAAGTGGAAATGCCTCGATATAAAGGCTACCACATTAACTTTCATTAACAAGGAGAGTACTGTGAAGGGAACAGGAAATCTACCTGTATTAAAGAAAATATGTTTTGGCCCCATTCTTCTGTAATACTATTGATTGTATGGCATGTAAATAGAATGGGCCATATTGTACTTTCAGAAGATCTGATAAATAGAAGTATGTATAGAATGGTTCTATACACACACACACACACACACACACACATTTGTGTTTAATGTAGCCATCTTTAAGGAGGGAGGAGGGAGAAAAAAAGTTACAAGATAACTTTATATATTTATATATTTAAAAGGAATAGCAAGTAGTACATAATAGATTTATAGTTTCTTTATAATCATATTTTTTCTATTCTACTATTATGACAGAAATGCATAAAATAAATAGAATTTCTAAAAAAAAAAGAAAATTATCATATGTGTTCCCTTTGGCAGAGACTTATTTCATTACTTCTTGTTGTCATTACACATCAAAAGTCTTGTCTAAGGGTAGCCCACGCTTCTTGTTCTCGGTGTAACGAAACTATGAGAAAAAAAAGAAATTCTTTTCACTGAAGTCTTTGTCGCTGTCAGATGATTCAGCATCAGAAATTGGTATCATTTGATCAGTGGAAATGACATTATAGAGAAAGCATTGCCACTTGCTTTGCTGCTCTACCCTAAGGACCATGGGACTTTTATATCTGACTTGCAACTGACTTCTAAATGTGTTGTCTCCCCTGTTAGAATGTGAGCTTCTTGAGGGCAGGGACTGTCTTCCTTTTCTGTTTGTATCCCTGACTCTTAACAACATACTTCATAACCAGAATTTTGGCGCTATGGGTTGGGCCAGAATGCGGAGGAAAAATGTGTAGAACTACCAAGTGTAGCCCAGACCAGATTAAAATGTAACTGGGAAATGTTTGACAAAACAATTAAAAATAAAGTACAATTTAAATAATGTCAATTTGTGGTTTTCTAAGTTGACATGTGGTGGGCAGGGGTCTATTTCTATTCGAATTTTGACACTACTGGCTTACCCCATACATTAAAAACAAACAGATACCCAGACACTAAGAGACATGGTCAGAATGAATGGAGATTGGGTAGTATTTCAAAATAAGAAATGCAGGCTCTTGTTTTTCTCTTCTCCGTGTGTCTTCTTTTCCATGAAAACTAAACTCTCTTGGCATGAAGCTGTGTAGTATTCATTTTCCTGCACAATGTCTGACATAGCCAAAGTCTAATCCACTGTGCTCCAGTGTTAAAAGAGGATGAATATTGTAGAGTGGTATTGTTTCCAGACAGCTCAGAAGAAGCATAGCAGTTGTTAATCATCCATTTCCATATTTGTTGATTGACGCACAGGTACCTGCCCATACCTGCATGTGCACATATAGCATAGAGAAAATTCATGTGCAGGAAATTGCTGTGGAACCAGTGAATTGTAATTACCTGCCATACAATCACGTTTCTTTGCCTGTTCAGTGAATGATGGAATTTTAGGATTATTGATTTAGAAGTAAGGAGGATCTTAAAGTTTATTGAGACCATTCCCTTCCGTTTTTCCAGTAAGGATTCTGAGGCCCAGAAAGCTAGAAAGTGGCTGAGGCCAAATTCAAGCCTATATCTTAATGATTTTAGATCTAGCTCTGTATCGCCCTATGTCACACTGTACATGTAACTGTTGGCCCTTCTTGGGTAAATTAGAATGTGTTCTGGAAAAATCTTAGGCTGAGTGAGATAAAGTAAAGTTATTGCCTCAGTTTGTTGTGGAAGAATTTGAAGTTACCCCAATTATCCTGATTCTTAATTCATTTCTATTTTTTTTTACTAAAGTGAGAGTTCTTCACCATTTTTGGAGTCATACCCCTTTTTAGTCTGGAAAAGTTTATGGACCCCTGAGAATTATGTTGTTGTTGTTATTTTAAATTTATAGTAGAAATAAGTGCTAAATTTAAATTAGAAGTTAGTAAAAATAAATATATATGTGTATATATATATACACATATATTATATATATATATATTATATATATATATATATATATATTTCCCCCCCATCCAATTTTATGGACCTCCTGAAATTGAACCCACATTAAGAACTCCTAAACTACATTTTACTCTGAAGTTTTCTTTTTTTAAGTGGAATATATTTATTGATTTTGGATATTCTATTTATTTTCCTCCTTTCGTGGAGCTGTGGATGGGTCTAGCCATTCTGGAAAGCAATTTGAAATTACATACAAAACTTACTAAACAGTTCATGCCTTTTGACCCACTTCTATCTCTGCTAGGACTATAGCCGCAAACAGATAAAAGAAAATGGAAAAGATCTTATATGTGAAAGAATAAAAAAAAGTGTATAGCATTTCTTCCTGTGGCAGCAAAAAACCTGGAAACTAAAAAGGGGGGGGGGGCAGCTAGGTGGTGCAGTGGACAGAGCACTGGCCCTGGAGTCAGGAGGACCTGAGTTCAAATCTGGCCTCAGACCAACACTTGACACTTACTAGCTGTGTGACCCTGGGCAAGTCACTTAACACCAATTGCCTTTAAAAAAAAAAAACCCGGAAACTAAGGGGTGTCCATCAGTTCTAGAATGGCTAAACAAATTGTGATAATGGAATACTATTGTGTGGTAAGCAATGAGGGAAAAGATGATTTCAAAAAAATATACAAAGACATGTACAGAAAAACAATTTATACTACAACAAAGTTCTGAAACAAACAGCTTTGAAGACTTACTTAAACTGATGGAAAATAAAATGAGCAGAACTAGGAGAAAAATTTGTACAGTAACAGCAATGTAAAGACAGAAAAACTTAGAAACCTGGAAGAACTCTGATTATGGCCTTTCATCCTGCCCACCTCCTAACAGAGAGGTGGTGGGCTCAGAGTGCAGAATGATGCAAATATTTTTTTAGATATGACTAGTGAGGAAATTTGTTTTTGCATCACCATGCATATTTGTTTTGTTTCTGTTGGGATAGGGACTTGGAGGGAGGAAAAAAAAAACAAACATCTGTATGTATGTATATATATGTATATTATTTTTTAAAAATCATGTAATATAAAAGCAAAAATGAACAAAAAGATCCTTAAAATACAAATGTCACTGCCTTCTTGCCTTGCATTTAGTGAGCATGGTGTCCATTATGTGGATTTGAATTGTTAGGACTCCTAGAAATCAGCTTCTATGGACAACCTACCATCAATTACCTATGCAGCAGAAGGCTAGTATTATGTCAGTTAATTCAGATTTATCTATCCCTAAGCATTAACTGGACACTTACTTGCTATAAACCCAATGACATACCAAAAGCCATTTTTTAATGGCACAGAATGAAAAGCCAGGGCAGATTGAAGAGGGGGAGGAGGGGGCAGTTTTAGGACCACCTTTTAGGAAAGACTTCGGTTAACTAAGGTACATTGCTATGTAGTCTGGATGGTGAAAGGCCTTGAAACCATCCCATTTAATGAGCAGTTGAGGTACTCAAGAGTAGTTTTAGCCAGGAGAGGAAGATTTGGGTGTCTAATCTCACTCATTTGAAGGGCTGGTTCATGAAGGAATTAGACTTGTTCTGCTGGGCTCTGGAGGGAGCTAAGAACAATGGGTAAAATCTGCAAAGAGGCAGATTTCAGCATAAGATAAAAATTAATAAAACAAAACAAACTTTCCAGCAATTTGTGCTATCCAAATGTGAAATGAGCTTATTCTTGAGTTAGTACCTTTTTCTTCTCTGTAGGTGTTCAGGCAAAGGGTAGATGACTAGTTACTGAGTATTCTGTAGGAGCTGTTCTCGTTCAAGTACAGGCCATCCCAGATCAGGGGTCAGCAAAGTATGGCCTGTGTACCAAATCTGACCCATCCATCTGCTTTTAAAAATGTAAAAATCATTCTTAGCTTGCAGCCATACAAAAATAGCTGGCAGGCCAAATGTGGCCCAAGGTCCATGATCCTAGGTGGCCTCAGAAGTCCTTTCCAACTCTGAAATTATATGATTTTTTTTTCTTGAGATCTTATCTATAGCTTTCAGTTTTATACTCTCGAAAGTACGTACCATCAGTTCTGGCCTTTTGGCATCATTGATCTCTTGCGCACCAGTTGCTGAGATTGTGTTCCTGTTATCATTACAATATTGTCTGTTTCTCACCAGTTCAAATTGATATGTCATGATTATATTTTTTGTCACTTTTGTGGATCTTTTCTAATTGAACATCTTACCCCCTTTCTTTATATGGAATCATCAAAATGATTTTTTGTTTGAAATTAGATTGCTAGGAATTTGCCTCTGAAAACTAGTCTTTTGTTTCTTTAAATTCTATGCTATATTTTGGGGAATGTTCCTGAACACTTAAAAATGGAAGTGATGTTATATCCTGATACAGAGGCAAACCGTTATCTATACACTGATCATTGGATGACTTGATATTACATGAAGTTAACTGATTGTTTTGTATTAACAGGATCTCCAAAGATGGGTAAGTGATGCTAATGAACACGGTTTTGTCCTGGTGTCTTTTGGAGCTGGTGTAAAGTATTTATCAGAAGAGATCACCCACAAACTGGCAGGAACCTTGTCAAGGTTGCCACAAAAGGTGATTTGGAGGTAAGGCAATAAGAAAGCCAGGGAATGTTTGTATGCCTTTGATTTACATAGCATCTGCCCCATCACTGAACTCTTGAGATCCAGAAACATGCTTCTGCAATGTTAGACGGTAACTCAGAATTCTTCATTTGGCTTCTCAGTGAATTGAAATTCAAGGGAGAATTTAGTGAAGTTATCTAACTAATTAAGGAGATATCAAATCTGTAACTAACCAAAGTTGGCATAATGGCAGCATAAATTCTCATAATGGGAAATGACCAAATTTATTCTAAACTTGATTTCTACCTCTGAAAACACCTTTATTTCCTTTTAATTACAATTCAAACATTGATTTGAAGCATTGAGGCAGCTAAGGCAATGTTGTGGATAAAGTGTTGGGCTTGGAATCAGGAAAGCAGGTGTTCAGATTCCACCAGACAGTTACTGGCTGTGTGATCCTTGGCAAATCCCTTAACCCCTCCCAGTCTCAGTTCCTTTATCTGTAAAATGGGGATATGAATAGTACCCTACCTCTTAGGTTGTTGGGAATATCAAGCAAGATAACATAAAAGGCACTTTGCAAACCTTAAAGGGCTATATAAATGCTATCTATTATTTTTGTTGCATTATTATTATCATTATTATTATTACTAATTAAATGCATATGTACATAGCACTGTGATAGGCACTTGGGATACAGGTGAAAAATGGCAGTCTTTGCCTCTAAGCCGCATACACATATTACACATATGAATGTCTCAGTTTATTGCACCTGCTTTGGGGGCACTTTGATATTTCCAAAATAAGAATATTAATGAGACTAACCATGCCCCCCTCAAAACATCCCCTATTTGTTTTCTATGTACTTTTATGAATATGTCTTGTCTCTCTCATTAGGGGCAGCTAGCTTGTATAATGCTTATGATTAGAACATTGGGCCTGGAGTCAGAAAGATCTGAATTCAAATGTGACTTCAGACACTAACTGTGTAACCTTGGGAAAGTCAGTTAACCTCTGTCTGCCTCAATTTCCTCAACTATACAATGAGGATAATAATAGGACCTACCTCCCGAAGTTGTTGTTAGAATCAAATGAGTTAGTATTTGTAAAGTGTTTATTACAGTGCCTAGTATATAGTATATGCTTATCACTTCTCCTTCACTTTCCCATTAGAATGTAAGCTCCTTGAGGGCAGGGATTGATTTTATTTTGTCTTTGTGTCCCCAGGGATTAGCAGAGTGTCTGGTACAGAATGGGGATCCAGGGGATCCAGGGTTTCCACAGGTTACCAGGAAAAAGGAGTTATCTCTAGAGTATAGATAGCTTGTTGTCCGAAAGACTAGACTCAGAAATCCAGAGGCTTTTCCTGGATTGTCACAGTAGTAAAATAGGCAGCCTCCTTTGAAAGCATGATAGCTTTCTAATAACTAATAAGCTAACTAATAAGCAAAGTCCTTTTCTCTGTCTAACCATGAAACAAACAAATGTGGAGGAAATGAGCTGGTTCAGACCGGGAATTATGTGCATGTATACAAGGGCTCATAGTTCAGAGGGAAGTGTTTGTATTCCAGAGAGCGGGAACTTAGAATTTGGAGAGGCTTCAAAGGAGTTCCTTCCTGGTACACACATATGCAGCAAAAAGGGACCTTTCCTTTTGGCCCACTCTGATCTGTCTTCTTTGGTGGACCACAAATCACATCACCTAACTTATTTTCCCAATTGGTGTACACACCTTCTGAACAGCAAGAGAAAGGCAGTGGTGTTGTTCTCCCTACATTACCCCCCAGTTCTTGAACGTGTGAATTTGCTTTAGTTCCATGGATATTCATCCAGTTGTTCACCCAGGCTTAAGGAAGAATGAGCTTTTTCTGAGCCACAAAACTCTCAGATTCTATGACATTTCTTTGTTCCTGAGAATGGCTGTCTCCTCATTAAAATCTTATCCTGACTACAGTTTCATACATAGGTGTATGCATATGCCTTTCATGCTCTCTGCGTGTAGAAGGAATGAGACTGAAGAGAGAATAGGTCCTAGTCTGGACAGCCTCTCTCTTTGTTTTCCTCCCTCCCTCCCTTCCTTCCTTCTTTTCTTCCTTCCATCATTATGTTTGGAGCACTGTGCTAGGCATTGGGAAAGATTATGCATGCTTCTTGCCCTCATGGACACCACAGTCTATTTGGGCAATAAGGTGGAAAAATGAATATCTTTTTTGTCATACCCCAAATAATGATAGTACAGAAAAATCATCAAATTGATCTTCGTTGTTATTAAGTCAAGCATGGTATGTTTGAGTGTAATGGTGTAAAGGAATACATTGTTAAATTTAATTTATTTAATTTGTTTTGCATCTAGTCACATTAATTTTCCATATCTCTGTATTCTGAATGGTTTCTCTTCTAACTTTGCATTTTAGGTTTTCTGGACTCAAACCAAAGAATCTCGGGAATAATACAAAACTCATAGAATGGCTACCCCAGAATGACCTGCTTGGTGAGGCTGTTATGTATTGCATCTATTTGTTGTTAATTTTGGAATGCAGTCAATTATGTTTATATCTTAAGAACTGTGCAAAAATACATTTTTTTTTCAGATAGTTTGATCCTTGAATTACTGGAAGTTTATGATAAGTTTTATCAAATAGTTTGATTCTTAAATTGCTCATAGGCTTCCTAAATATTTTTCTTGTTAGCAAATTATTGATTATATCTGCAAGGCATAATACAATTATACTTAAATATAATATTTTCCTATTACAGAAACTATTGTCATTTTGTACAGTATTTGAAAACTTTTTTCAATGTACTTTTCAACTTACCTCATTTAAATTTTCACAAACATCCTATAAAATTACCAGGGTAAGTATTTTTCACCCTAATTTTGCAGATGAGGAAACTGAAGTACACAGATGTCTAAGGGACTAGCCCAGATTCACACACAGCTAAAAGATGGTGGAGATGCAAGTGCAATCCAAGTCTTCTGAATTCCAGCCAACCACATTTTGGTGTTTAGTTGAATTTAAAAGATCACTGAAAAAAAAAGAGAGAACAATTTAGTAGGGCGAGAGAGTGAATGAGATGAAATTTTAAGCAGTCCCTCTGATTCTGTGATATTTAGTTTTAAATTGTGGAAATGTCTTCCCATCTTTTGATTCTCTTGTCTGATTTTCTAAGTGTTTGTCACGGGAAGTCCACCCCATTGTATTGAAGGCCTTCCTTGATTTCCCCCAACTCCACAAGAGCACTCTGGCTGCCTGCCTGTCATCTTTTCTCATGTAATGAGCCCCTCCCTCTCTCTCTTCCAGCCCCTTGTCCTTCCTGGTTCCTCGTTGGTGCTGTGTTGCAACCCACCATACCTAGCATAGGCCTCCTCATTGCTCCTTTATGATCTTTACATGCAAAAGGACAACTAACCCTTACTCTGGGCATCCACACCAAGATACCTGCACTGTGTTGGGGAGTTGTTCCTAATTGTTCCACATCCTTCCCCAATATATCTCATTCACGAATAGCTTGTGTTCAGCTCAGTCACTTATCTTTGCATGGTTTTCCATTCCCATCCAAGTACACCTCACTCCTTCTGACTCGCAACCCTCTCAGCATCACCTCAGTTGCTCAGACCACAACACTGTGTTCTGTTCTCTGTACAATGAAACACTACTGTCAGTGTGCTGTCCAAACAACCAGGGATCAACATCCTGACAAAGCTGTTCTGATTACTAGTGTCAGAAGGACTTCCTGAGTGTCCCTTAATGCCTTATAGGTAATCGGTAACTACAGATAGCTCTTTGGTCACAAAGAACAATTTCTTCATCAAATTCTATCAGTTTTCCCTCAATAGCTAAGAACGTTCTTTGAAGGAGTACTATCATGACCTCTCTCCCTTACTCATTGTAGTAAATTCTACCATATTCGAATAAGGTTTCCCCCTGGATGGATATTTTTCCACATTCTGTCAATTTAGTCAGGGTCTCTCCACCCCCCCCAAGTTAATCACTGCCTTCTCTATTATTTCTTCCTTTTGTTATTAGTCCTTCTCTGTGTGGGCTTCTCTTCTCTGCATCACTCTCATTTTTTAATGATCTTCACTTATCTTTTCTTTAACTTATAGTCTTGAAGCCTACATAGAATATTAAGAGATTAAGTGACTTGTCCACAATTACATAGCCAGAAAATGTCCCTAGGGAGACTTGAATGCAGGTCTTTGTGATTTTAGTATTCTGGCCAAATACAAGGGTCATTGTAAATGCCATCATTTCTAAGTTAAAGGACATGATCAGTTGTGTGCTAATAAATGTTAAACTGCTGGCTTTCTGGGGCAAAAATGTTCATGTGACACAATTAAATCTCATGCTCACGTTTTCTCAATCATTTTCTTAAATTTAGCCAATCAGTAAAACAATAAATTTTTTAAAAAAAAATCCTCGCTCTCCTGCATCTATAAGTTGATCTCTAAGCTCTTGATCTAGAGTCTCATAAGCCTATGGCTTTGTTTTGGGACAAACTCCAGCTTCTCCCTTTTTTCTCCTCCCCTTCCTTTTTAGTCTGAATCTTTCCCATCTAAGACTCCTTTTTTTCAACTCTTACTTCAACCAGTAGCTTCCTTGCAGCATTGAAAGAAACACCTCCTGTGTCTCTTGGGCCCTTTCCTTTGCATGGCCTATACAGAATCAAATAGTGTTCTATGGCCCCTTTAGGTCCACAGAGACCTGAATTGTTTTTGCATGTTCTGATCTGGACTATCATCTTTAGGGTCCCTCTAGTTGTAAAAATTTCAGGCTTCCATTTGACCTGGGCCTCTTTAGTATTTAACCTCCTGCACCACAAAATAGTGAAAGAGAAGACCAGTATGTGAGCTGTTTTAACACTAGCCTGATGATATGGTTGAACTGCCTAAACTCTGTAGTCTGCCAGATGAGTGTTTCCCAGACTTGATACAGTAGAAGGAATGGTGGTTTTGTAGTCCAAGGAGCTGGGTTCAGAACACACACATACACAGATATGTGTATATCTGTGTGTATAAATATAAATACAATTTTTTTCCCTCATTTAGCAACTCTAATTTTCATTGTTTCATAAGAAGCAGTGTTGGATAGTGGATGGAGTACTGAACCTTCAGTTAGGAAGCCCTGGGTTCAAATTCTGACCATGGAGTCATAGGGCCTAGGTTCAGATCCCATTTCTGGTGTTTGCCACTAGTCTGACCAAGAGAAAATCCATTTAAGCTCTTTGACTCCTTAACTCATTTATAAAAGGAAGGGATCAAACCGGGTGGTCTCTGTGGCTCTCTCAGCTCTAGGTCTGTGTGATCTCTGATGGCTGACCTCTGAAGGCCTGGGACAACTCATTAGGACTTTTCTTCTAGATCAGAGAAAAGATAGAGTCTGTAGTCGGTGCTGGTGAAGTCAGCTCTCATACTGGTAGTTCCCTCAAAATGATAAGATCTCAGCTCACTCAAATTAAAAATAAAATTGTTAAAAATGTTTCTTGAGAGCCACTTATCAGTAACCAATTGTAAAATACCAATCTTTAAAGTCATTACCAATAATGAATAACTTATTCAGAATTGTTTCCAGTTTCTAGAAACATCTCGTGACAGATTTGTACCTCTGCAACAGGGGCTCTTTATTTGGGGATAGATTGATGGAGGTGGGGGTGGAGGGGTGTGTCTGTGAATTTGGATAGGGGAAAAATTACATCTTTGTTTTCACTGACGTCTAACTGAACTTTTTCTTTTCCCTCAATCATAAATTCATTCAACAAGTATTCTGAGAAGGGGTCCATATGGTTCAAAATACTGTCAAAGGGGCCCATGACCCCCAAAAAAGGTTAAGAAAATCTCTACTCTACATGTAACATTCCTGTTTCATCATTGTTCCCTTCTTTAGGACACTCAAATATTAAAGCCTTTCTTAGCCATGGTGGCTTGAACAGCATTTTTGAAACTATGTATCATGGAGTTCCTGTGGTGGGTATTCCTCTCTTTGGAGACCATTATGATACAATGATACGAGTCCAGGCAAAAGGCATGGGGATATTGCTGGAATGGAAGTCAATGACTGAACAGGACTTATACGAAGCCTTGGTTAAAGTTATTAATGATCCCAGGTAAGGAACATTTATTATTGAAACAGATAAAACATACAGTATAAGAGGTTTTAAAATCTCTGTGTATGCAGTCTTATGCATAGCTTCCTTTCACCATATAATGGAAAAGTATTACAACAGTATAGCATCCATATTGTGGCTAGAGGTTACCAAGTTTCTCCCCAACATCAGTTAGAGCAGCTCACCTGCCTTGGCCCTTCTATATAGGTCTATTTACTGAAGCTACTTGATCCGTTCGGGGCTGGCCCACCCTTCCCACAGCCTCCCGCTCAAAAACGGGCAGATTTCTTATTGCACCTGGCTTTCAGAATGGTTACATGCATTTTGGCATGCGGTGAAGGCCCAGGTTCTAACTCAGGGGACTCCTTTCTTGTTGCCTTTAGGGAGAGGTAATAAGGGAGGTGTCACTACATTCAGGACCAAGCAAGGATTGTCTCTCACCCTTGGACCTATGGTAATAATTTGTTCTAAGACCTGATAATGCCCAAATGAGTCCCTTTCTTACTGTCCTGCATAGCAGTCTTGTTAAGGTTCAGATTCCAACTTACATGCAAATATTGGCTCTAATTTTCCAAGGGAATTTTCATCCAGATTTGCATGCATAAATGTAGTCTGTTGTAGGCATTTTTCTCTATGCCATAGGCTTTCCTAGAGGTTAAAAGGCGTTGCCCTGAGACACAACTAATTCTGTAGTCTTGGAAGAAGAACCTATTAATAAAAATCTCCATTGTCAGTAAGCCCAGCTGAGCCCTGCTCTACCAAGTAAGTCTAGAAACACCTATCTGCATAGCAGGGGTATCTTTAAAGTTCTAGATCAAGCAGCTTTTGCAATCCCATCTACATTCCCTTTCTTCCAAAGTCTGACTTTGAAACATATGTGACTTTTTCTACAATGAAGAATTTTATGAATAATATGTGAATTTTAAAACAATGGGGGATAAAACACATTTACTGGGTAACCAGTGAGTAAGCTGTCTATAATATTTGAAAATTTGAGTCTTTGGGCCAGAAGGCTTTCATGGCCTCTTCCCAGTGGGAAGATTGAGATTGGAGCTCCCTAGCCTGGAAGTTCTCCACTTCCAGAGGGAAAGGAGAAAACACTAGATCCTTAACAGCTTAGTGAAGCGGGGTTTGTCAATGTGGAAGCAATTTTTGGGTAAATAGCATTCTCCAAGTTGAAGACTGAGCTGGGCCTTAGAAATTGTCTAAGAAATGAAGAGGCTGTTCCAGTTGTCTATCATCATTGGTATAGAGACAGTTGCTCTGGCAAACTGGTCTGGTCATTGTACCATCTGAGAATTTTGTACCTGTCAAATCAGTCAGGTATAAAGTACCTACTGTGATCAAGTCAGTGTGCTTGGTGCTGGCCATACAGAAACAGAAATGAGACATTCTTTGTCCTCAGAGAATAAGTTAACATTCTACTCTAGATGGTTTCAGGATTGTCCCAAAACCACTACAACAGTTTGGGACAGGTGTGAACTCAATTGACTTGGAGATAAATAGATAAAGAATCATTTGACAAGAGACTGGGCCTCTTGCGGCCTCATTGAGTAGATGAATGTTTGCATTCTTAACGTGACTTTATAATTTTAAAAAGAATTACAGCAGCTGAGGAAGATCAATAATACAGGTAGGTAGTACAGTACCCTATTGTACAGATAGAGACAACTTGGCCTGGCAGATTGAGAACTGGATTCAAAGCCTAGAATACTGACGTGCAGGTCGCAGCTTTGACATATGCTGACTGCATGACCCTGGGCAAATGACTTAACCTCTCAGGGTTCCAGTCTTTTAAGACTGTGAATTGCAAAGAAGTACCAGCCTGCTGTGATAGAGAGAACTGCCTCACCTGAAGGTTCCCTTTGCTAATGAAATCATGAGTCCAGTTGATCAGCCCTATTTTATAGATATGGAAACAGGTTTAGACAGATGATCAAATGACTTATCCAAAGTGACCAGGTTTGTGATATCCTTCTCCATTCTTGTGATATCAAATGTTATACCTCCAGAGAAGCCATTTCAAATATGACTTACTTTCATTTTCTAGCAGTGAGATTTAAATTGTGTCTGAGGGTGGATTTTATTGTTGTTATTTACAAATAAATGATTAAAATTCATTTTCTAGGTCTCTAGTGTCCCAGTTTAACATTGATAGGATGATCTTTCTCTCCATGATCATTTCCTAACCACAAAACTTTGTAATAGGAAACTTCTATTTTTCTTTTATTAACCCATTAGAAATAATATTAAATTTCATAGGAAAGGGTTAGAGTCTGAAGGTTCAGAAGAAGTCAGGTTATGCTATTACATCTTTTAGAAAAGTTAAACTTTATTCTAGTATGATTATATTATGAGAGTCAGGGTGGCTTAGTGAATAGAGAACTGGTCTTAGAGTCAAGAATACCTATGTTCACCATATACATCTGTATGTAAGCCTGAGGAACTTTTAACTTCTCACTGTCTTAGGCAACAATATGAGTGCATACTTTGCAGGAAGATGATTGTCTGCCTTGGCAGAAGAGGAGTCCCATATTGATAAAATCACAGGTCCAGTCAATCAGTAAATATTAAGTGCCTACTATGTGCCAGCCACTGTGCTAAGTGCTGGGGTTACAAGAAGAAGCAGAAGATAGTCCCTGCCCTCAAGGAGCTTACAACCTAATAGGGAGACACCATGCAAATAAATCTGTACAAAGCAAGCTAAAGGATACAAGGTATACTGGATGCTTGGAGCCAAGAGATGGAGTTTCTTGCTCCAGGAACAGCCATGAGGCCAATGTCACTGGATCGAAGAGCATGTGTCAGAGAGTAAGGTGTAGGAAGATTGGGAAGGTAGGAAGGGTGTAGGTTATGAAGAGTTTTGAAAACCAAATAGAGCATTTTTTATTTTGTCTTGGAGGTGATTATAAGCTATTGAAGTTTATTGAGGGTTGGGGCATGAGGTGGGGGTGGGGGGTGTATTGACATGATAAGACCTGCGTTTTAGAAAATTCACTGAATGGAGGGTGGATTGGAGTGCGGAGAGATGTAAGACAGGCAGACCCACCAGCAGGCTGTTGTAGTCATTCAGATGTGAAGTGATTGGCGTCTGCACCAAGATTATGGAAGTGTTAGATGAGAAGAGGGGGTGAGATTTTGTGGAGGTAAAATCAACAGACCCTGACAACAGATTAGATTGGGGGGGGTGAGAAGTAGTAAGGAATCCACGATGACTCCTAGATTGTGAGCCTGAGGAACTGGAAGGATGGTGTTGCCCTCCAGAGTAGTAGGGAAGTGAGGAGGGTTAAGGGGGAAGATTATGAGTTTTACTTTGGACATGTTGAGTTTAAGATATCTATTAGACATCTAGGTTGAGATTATGAAATGAAGTTGGAGATAGAAGATTGGAGGGCATCAAAGAATTTGGAGCTGGCTAGACAGATTTGAGAATCACCAACACAGATTAAATTCATGGGAGTTGATGAATGAGATCACCAAGTGAAGTAGTGTAGCAGGAAAAGAGGATAAAGACAGAACCCTGAGAGGGACACCTGTGGTTAAAGAGCATGATCTGGAAGAGGATCCAGCAAAGGTGACTGGGAAGGAGTGGTCAGATAGGTAGAAAGAGAGCTGGGAGAGAGGGGTGACCTGAAAGCCTAGAGAGAAGAGAGTAACAAAGATAGAGTGATCAACCATATCAGAGGATGCAGAAAGGTTAAGGAGAATGAGGACTGAGAAAAGTTCTTTGAATTTGGCAACTAAGATCATTCGTAATTTTGGAGAGAAAAATTTTGGTGGAATGATGAGATAAGAAGCTGCATTTTAAAGGGTTAAGAGAGTGGGAGAAAAGAAAGTGGAGGCACTTACTGTAAACGGGGCCTTTTCAAGGAGATTAGCAGCCAAGGGCAGAAGAGATATGGGATAATGGCAAGTATGGAAAGTACAGGTGAGGAAGATATGTATATTTGTCGGCTGTTGAGAGTGAGCCAGTAAAGAGGGAGAGATTGGAAATATGATAGAATAGGGGATGGCAGAGGGTCAACCTATTGTCCAGCGCAAACAGACAAACCACCACCATGAAAAATATTGTCATGGCAATATTGTGAATAAGTAAGTTAGGCACTTTGAGAAGTTATCTCCCACCCGCTCCATTATCTGAAACCACAGGCAAGCCAAGAAACCTATTAAGGGACCACTCACTTGTTGTCTCAGTGTGTGCAGCTGGTCTGGTTTGAGCACCTGCTTGTTAGGCAAAGCTACCATAATCATGCCTTTTACAAATAGTGTATCTGCTGAGTGAGTCTTGTCCTGTTTTGTCCTCCCTCCCACACATGATGTACTTACCCAGTGCACAACAGACAAATTGTTATTATCAAGTCCCATTCAAGAACGTGGGATATTAACGTTTTAAACCTTGTTTTCTCCTCACTTGTTGTCACTTAGCTACCGTGCACGTGCCCAGAAGTTATCAGAAATTCACAAGGATCAGCCTAGTCACCCTGTCAATCGAACTGTCTATTGGATTGATTACATTCTCCGTCATAACGGAGCAAACCACCTACAGGCCGCTGTTCACCGCATCTCTTTCTATCAATATTTTTTACTGGATATCGTCTTTGTGCTGTCACTGGGTGCTGCCTTGCTTTACTTCGTTTTGACAAGGATGGTCAAATTCACCTACAAACAAAGCACACATCTCTGGTCTAAAAATGAGCATAGCACTGTTAATGGACATTACCACAATGGAATCCCCAATGGCAAGTATAAAAGGAATGGCCACATTAAGCATGAGAAGAAAGTGAAATGAGCCAACCCACCTACACTATCTTGAGGAATCAGTTCGGTAGTTGAATTTTTATCACTGTAACTTAGTCTAACACTTACTTAAAGGAAAACCTCAGTAAACAATTCTAATACTCCCCTATGTAATCTTACAGGATGAAATTCTACGGAACTAAGATGTCTTAAAAAAAAAAAGCACAAACCTAAAATGCAAAAATGTATTTTATTCTTAATACTGATGCAGAGAGGTTATTTTGGCATTGAAATTTTTAGCAGCCTTAATTCTTTGAATCAATTGAATGACCCTAACAGTTTTTAGTTTTATGTGTATGACCCAGGTGAGAAACTTTTTGTCCTCAAAAAAGTTTTTTTAGTTTAGTTTTGTTTTTTTAATGCTTGTCTCTTAATTGAGAGAATTTAAGCTAGCTACATATTAAATTTGTTGAAGTCACAACAGTTCTAAGAATGAGATTGAGAATAAGGCCATGATCCCAAAACGTTTGGCACCCAGAAATTTAACAGGTTGTAGACTCAGAATATTACTATGAAAGAATGTTTCCTCCCTAAACTGAGCACTGAAGGAGAAAATGATCTTTTTACTGTATATAAACTCTTTTGGTCTCTGCTATTGAAAACATGAAATTAAGTAAGGGTACAAATGATTGTCACTTAAGAGATGTACACATATTTTTGTTTTCTTGTGTTTTCCATTTACCAATAACTTTCCTCTGGACAAATTTTATGAGATTTTTTTAAAAAAATAATTTAAACAAAGAGCACAGATGTGTTGTAGATAATAATTAAGAAGAAATGAAGCTCTGACAACAACGTCCTTGCAGAAGGTTTGACCTTATACACATAACATTGTGAAAGGGTCTCTCTCTCTCTCTCTCTCTCTCTCTCTCTTTCACTCTCTCTCTCTCTCTCTCTCTCTCTCTCTCTCTTTCACTCTCTCTCTCTCTCATTCTTTTCTTCCTTCCTCTCTTCCTATCTTTCTCTCCATTTCTTCCTTTCTTCCTTCCTCTCTTTCTCTCTTATATTCTTTCTTTCTTTTTTTTTTTGGAGGGGGGGAAATTGGTATATAAAAAATATTTCAGGTCTTTCCTATAATAGGATATTTGTACCTAAAATTTGTTCCATTTGAACAGTTCTATATTGAAGAGAGAAAAAAGTAAGCATCTTCTTTGTTCCTTATATTGGTTCAGGCCACTCTATTTTCATGACATTGTTGCCAATATTTATGCTCTCAAAACAGGACAAATACTTCTCTTAGTTGGGAACTGCCTTTTGACAAGAGGTTTAAAATCAAACCCTAGGTACCATACATAAAGACCATGGAGATCATGTCTTTCTTTTCCCAACATGATCCCCATTGCCCCCTTCCCCTGGCAGTCTCTTTCAATCATTGTGGCTGACACGGGACATCAACAGTATTGAATTGAGAACAGGGATGCAGGAAATTGGGCAGAATAAAAATGATCCATCCTGCTGAAACCGTCAGGGTCGACAACTATGAGTTTATTTACATGTCATTCTGTTTACTTGGTGTTTACACTACAGATGCTGAGTGTATGTTTTATTTATATATAGTTTTAAATCCCATGTCTCATCGAGGGAAGGGAAAAGAACCATTTATCTAGTGTTGTTCACTAACATGGGAAATGTTATGAAAATTAGATAAGAGTATGGAAGAATCACCATCATACACAGTGACGCGACATTTTATTACCAGTCCCACCAGGAGCCACCATCCCATTGTGCAAATTCGTGTCACAAATAGGTTTCTGATGTACAGTGCAGACAAGTGTGCTGCTTTCTGAATACTTGAAGAAATGGTGTTATAAATAAGCCTATTAGCTATGCTTTTTTTCTTTTCTCTTTTTTTCCTTTTTTTATATTCTTAGCATGATGGGACAATTAAAAGAGCATGCATAAACACAGGCAATGATTGGTGGGGTAGTAATAGGACTTAGAGTGTATGAATGAGCTGGTTTCACTGTTTTTGGTATTAAAGAAAGTAGCTAGTACATGCACTGACCGGATGATTAAGCCTAAGTTAATCTCCACTGTGATAAAACAAAAAAAAAAACAACTTAAACAATAAACATGAATTTAATAGAGAAAAGTGTTGGTAATAAGTTTTTATTTTGGTGATGTTTCATAGAATTATGTGCGTCCACTCTGCTCTCTTCTTGCTCCCTAGATTCTTCATGTGTGCGAGCATGAACACAACACATCTATCTTTGCATCATGCATTCTCTCTGAGGCAGTTTTTGTCCTCATAATTTGGGGGCAGTTAGTGTCGAACAGCATAAACACACTTTTATACCAGAGCATCACAGAAGTAAAAATGCCAGGCACAGATTTGCACTGAGCAGTTTTGTTTCTTCATAATAAGCTTATTGTTGGTTGGTTTCAATAAATAAGAGTGATTTCAGGATTTGCACACTTGTTCTTAATCCTCCAATAAAGTACAATATTCAAGAAGCTTGGGTTGTCTTTCCTTAGAGAAACAACAGATTCAAACCACCTCGTAACTTTCCGAGGGGTGTCAGAAGTAAAAGCATTATGTCTTTTTTCCCCGTGCTTAGTGTCACAAGGTAGTATGACAGTTGGCCTTGCTAGCTGTGTGACTCTGGGCAGGTCATGGCCAGGGGTGTGCTAAAGCTAGCTCCACCGAGCTCTGGAGAGCAGATTGTGTAATTTTCATGTACACCTCAGACATTGGCAAACACAAACCATGAACATTTACACCTTCTGACTTTGGCAAACACTAGAAATCAGGACTTGATTTATTGTTCGGCAGATTATCTAGATTTAACAAAACAATGGAGAAAATGTTATATAATGCATATTAAACTTTAAAGTATGTCATGTATGGAGAGCCAGTTGTTAAAATTTATCAGTATATTCTTGCATATGATTTCTTGGCGCTAGGCAGCTTTCTAAAGCTCTGACATTTCAGAGAAGGGGCCGACCTGTACTGGAAGAAGGAGTTTTCTTAACTGGGAATTCCATATAGCAGTGAAGGCTCAGGTCCAGCTTCTGTCCCTATTTTGGGGACCACTTGTTCTAGGTCACTGACACCTGGACTCAGAGATATGACCATTTGTAGCCATGACTTTTCTCTTTAGAATTGGGGAAGTGCAGTTATAACAGAACAAGGGAGGTTGGGGGTGAGAGGAGTAAGCTTCACACACTTCTAAATTTAATTTGCATAACATTTTCTCACTTTCTTAAATCTAGACAACCTACAAAACAACAAACCAAGACCTAACTTCTGACCTCAGCAGTGTAAATGCTCACAACTAAAAATTTAACAATTGACTCTTGAGAGCTGGACCCCACACAGCCCTGCTGAAGGTCTGACAATAAAGGGTTAAGAGGTGCTGTGTTTCTCACCATTCTAGATGGTGGAGAGCAGGAGAGGGAGGGACTTAACAGAATTTAATCTTCCCCTGCTTCCTTCCTTCCTTCCTTCCTTCTCTCTCACTGCTATAACCTGGGTCTCTGGGCTCACATGACCCTCTGGGGTATTTAAGCCCAGGCCAAGTGTTGTTCTGATTGGCTTTTAAAAAACAAACAAAAAACCAAAAAAAAAAAACACCGCTTTCTTACTTAGTGTGAAAGCTTTGTTGCTAATTGATTTTGTGATATTGGGACAAGTCATATCCTTTCCTGGACTGTAGTAATTGTTTCTCTTTTGATCAGCAAGCCTGAGGGTCTTCCCCTCCCAGTTAGACTTTTTTTTTAATCAAAGGGGCCATTCCTTGACTCACTTCTTCAACTGGCCTATTCACTGAATAAGTGTTGCCTCACTCAAAGTGAGAACTCTGAAAGACTTTAGCTTAAAAAGGCCAAGGTCTCCCGCTGTATCCTGGGCCATCTTGGCTGTGGAGGAAAGTGAGGCTGATGACTTTGCACAGCCCTCCCTCACCCAGATCCAATCCAGTTCAAGTGTTTGAATCATCTCCCTGATGTCATGGTCCTCTTTGAGAACAAAGGACAAACCACAAGTTTCCTAATGTATAAAAGCAAGAATGTTGGACTAGATGAATTCTTTGGTCTCTTCCAACTCTTAACATTCCGTGAGAAATGTATGACAGTCACATCATCTTATGGGTAATCACACTATTATCACTTCCAATCGGGTCTGAATACAGGAAAGCAGATTTGTCCACCCTTCAGTTGCAGAGGGAACACTTAACTCAGTAAGTTGCTACTTGTTCAGTTAGCAAGGGCAACCTTGGGCTGGCTTTTGGAATTTTCTGCATTAATAATAATAAATTTATATATAGTGCTTTAAGTTTACAAAATGCTTTTAAAATATTATCTCATCTTATCCTTAACACAACCAAGAGTTAGATGATATCTCCAATTTATAGATGAGGAAACCGAGGCAGAGAGATTTATTTCCTTAGAGCCACACAGCTGGTAAAGCACCTAAGGCCAGATTTGAATTCAGACATTCTGACTCCAGGTCTGACACTGTGTCGTTACAACATTCTGGTATTTCTTTATGGAAAACTTTATTTGGGAAGGAAGACTACAAAGTTTATTTCATGGGACTATGGGTTGCTTTTTTTTTATCGATTAACATTTATTTTCTCTCCATCGCCCCAGTCCTGTGCCCAAAAAAAGAAAAGCAGAGGCTTTGTATTATATGTAGTCAAAAACATAATTTCCCACATTGGCCATTTTTTAAAAAAATGTATATGTCATCCTGCATATGAAGTCCACTGGGCAGCAGGTAAGTAGCATACCTTATCCTTGATCCCCTGGAATCATGGAAGGTTACAGTTCTTAAGTCTTTCACAGCTTTTTATTTCATAAGATTTCACATAGAGTGTTTTTTTTAATCACCTTGAATAACTATACAGGTAAACAATAATTTGACTTAATAAATAAAAGCAAATACTTTCTCAAATAATTCTAGATGGTTTCCTTATAATCCTTCCAGATTATTCCTTATTAATTGTAACAATTATTTTGACTATCTTTGAAATTTTTTTCCACTTTTAGAAGTAGAGAATTTTCTATCTCATTTCTGTACGTGAAAATGATGATTAATTTGCCGGTTGGCCTTGTCTAAGTCTTCTCATTAAAGTCTTGTCATTAAAAATTCATTAACACCACTGTGAAGATGAACAATTTTGAGATGAATATAGCAGAAGAAAGGACAGAATACCTCCAAGGACTAGGCCAATAATTAGCTTTATTTTTCATTTAATACATGAAACGTTTATAAAACCATATCAAGTATAAAATCACATGTACACATAAGTATTCATTCATTTATTCAGTTATCTATTTATTTTTGTCAAGGCAATTGGGGTTAAGGGACTTGCCCAGGGTCACACAGCTAGTAAGTGACTGAGGTCAGATTTGAACTCAGGTTCTCCTGACTTGAGGACTGTTTCTGTACCCACTGTGCGTAAATATTTACAAATAGGATAATCTCTCCCGATTTATCATCAGCTATTTTTGAGTTCTTTGCCATGAAGGAAGCAGACACTAAGTTTTATAAGTTCTGTAGCCTAAAGTTTTTATGTAGTTACTAAAGACTCTCCGTCTTCATAAATTTTGAGACGTGGAAGTGATCATCTCACTAGGAATATAAAGTTGTTTTTTCAGGCAGATGTTGATGTAAAATCATTGCCTTACTCTGTTCTAATTCTAACCCATATGCATTCCAGCTAAGGAAAATACTATTTTTAATCTGATGGCAACACACATTGGAGGCAAAATCCTGAAAGAATCTGATTGGAAAGGTGAGAGAGAGGCAAAAGGGGGTTAGATACCAATCCTGGAAGCCCTCAAAACACAGAAAAAGCGTATAAACTCCCTTGGTCCCCATTTTACTTCACTTTGGGTACTGAAGAGACCTAGTTTAAGAATAAATTACTTCCTCACTACCTCAAAAAAGAACTTG